AGGATCGTACAACGAGATGTTTGCCCCTTTTCTTGCCGTCCCGCTAGGTATAAATGCTTTATATCCTAGGTACCTTTCCTACTCTCCGGGCTAACGGTCTTGTCTCCAACGTCTGATTCCTCAACCCCTGAACCAAAACAACCAGCAATACCAGAGTCATGGGTGACTATCAAAGTCCCACAGATACGACTGAGCCCCAGCTGCTCTCGCCCCTTGATGGTGCCAAGCTCGGCATCCTCAGACCGGTCCTCGGGCCACCCATCACCCAGATGCCGGCACCCTACTTCTGGGGCAAAGACTTTGAAGCAGGCGCAGAGTTCCACTACCCCGTCGCCAAAGGCTACGACATTGAGCGCGAGCTCATGGGAGACGGCTCCCTCGCGGTCTTTGAGGAGCTAGGCAAAGAAGCCGTCGGTTTTCTGGAGCGCGTCTTTGGCGAGCTCGACGATGACAACCAACACAGCAACAACGACACATCAGCAGCAGGTAGTGAAAGCAAACGCCTCGTCCACATCCAGCTAGCCCCCGACATGCAAGCCTGGCGCGACGAGCAGCTGGCAGCCGGCCGCGTGCTCCCAGCCAAGGGCAGCGGCATCGGGATCGCATCCGCCGACATCCTCGCGCTCTTTGGCGCAGCCGACTTCCCGGCGCCGCTGACAACCAACGGCACGCTGTTTGGGTCGGGCGTGCTCAACATGCTGATCGGGGCCTACGACGCCGAGACGCTGTACTCCAACTACAGCATGGACGCGGCCTTTTACTACGAGCACGGCTACCACCGCGTCTTTCCCGACTTTGAGCCGCTGCTGCGCAGCGCCGGCAAAGACGCGCGCGCCATGGCCGCGTTTGCGGGTCCCGAGCGCCGCGCCGCCGTCGACATTGGGCTGCGCTACATCCGCGCCAAGGTCGCCCTCGAGGAGAAGCACAAGGCGTCGCTGGCGCACCTGTCGGCGCGGCTCGACCGGCGCGAGTCCATGGTTCTGTACCTGTTTGAGAGCAGCATCCTCGGGCCAGCGATGGAAGCCAACCTGCGCGGCTGGGACAAGGCGGCCGTCATGGCCGACTGGGTGTTTAGCACGCCCGCCACCGACGTGGTCGACGTGGGCTCGGACCTGGTCAACTCGGAGGTGCTCAACTCGCTGCTCAACACGGCCGACGTCGCCGTCCCGGGCCTCGTGTCCGAGCCCATCCTGCGCCGCGTCTACGACGCCATGGCCCACACGTGCTGCCGCATGTTTACGCACCGCTGGGCCGAGCCCGGCAGCCGCATGGACGCCTGCCTGTACCACTGGCACTTTGTCAACAACCGGCACAATTTCCTGCGGCGCGCCGTGCTGGGCTACGCCCGCTCCCGCCGTCCGCCAGGGTACGACCAGCAGCAGCGCGAAGCCGACTGGGGCGAGGCGTTTGACAAAAGCTACCACACCACGGGCTTCAGCCGCGTGCTCGAAAACGCGTGCGACGGCGGCGAGCCCTGCAACCAGATCCGCGCACGCGTGGCAGCCGCAAGAACAGAAGAGCATCGCGCACAGCTCGAGCTGTTGTGGCATGTGCTCGTGACGCGACCGACAGAGTACGCGCGCGCCGGCGTCGTGTCGCTGGCCTGCGAGGAGGGGATATACCAGGACGTGCGGCTGGCTCTGGCCAAGACGTACGCGCTGGGGCTGGTGGATGATTTGGCGTTTGTTATTGCCCATGTGAGCCAGCATGCGTGGCAAGTGAATCGGCTGTACGAGGCGGCCATGTTTGGGAGTTTTCTTGATGATGGGGCGTTGCGGGGGAGGTTGGATCGGACGGATCAGGAGGCGATTATCAGGGATTAGTCTAGTTCTAGGGCTGCTTCTTAATGTTTTGATTGGCGTTGCGAGGGTTGTTGGACCAATAAGTGACCCTTCTCTCTTCTCTTGTCCTTGACACACCAGAATCTGTTTTTCATCCTAGTAATCTTGACCCCAACTTCGTTGGCTGCCCTGAGTTGTCTGAAAAGAAGAGCAAACAGCCGTCGGGTATGGTGTTACAGGCTTACGTCTGTGCCAATCGTACAACAACTCCTGTAGCCTACCCATGAAATCATCCGCATACACTACTACTACCACCACCAACATCAACATCAAAACATCAAATCCAGCTATTCCAGTCAGGTCAGTCAATTCCAGTCAATCCAGTCAGTCCAGTCAAATCTAGTCAATTCCAATCAATCCAGTCAAATCAGTCAAATCCAGCAGTTCAGTCAAATCCAGTCAAATCCAGTCAGTTCAGTCAAAACCAGTCAATCCAGTCAGTTCAGTCAAGGCCAGTCAAATCCAGACAATCTAGTCAGTTCAGTCAAAGCCAGTAAAATCTAGTCAGTTCAGTCAAATCCAATCAGTTCAATTACATCTAGTTAGTCTAGTCAGTTCAGTCAAATCTAGTTGGTGGTAATGTATGCGGCCGTTTTTATGGGCCGAGTGCAGGAGTTTTTGTACGATTGGCACAAACGTAAAGGTGTGGCACCATAGTCGGGGATGCAACCACTCACCCTGCAAGCCACGATGCTTGGCACCACCAACCTCCTGTGCCTTTTATGGCATGTCTCTTCAGGGAGGACAAAGCCGACATGGAGCATGGTCCAGCTTCAGCCTCTGAGGCGGCAACAGGTGCCTAAACAGACGAGATGGGATCGACCTGGGAACAAGTTGGAACTTTGGAAATAAATACTGATCTGTTGATCGTCACTAGGTTTCTTCGGACTGAGTTGAAGATTCAAATCCCCAACTAATTAGACCCAGACTCAATCGCAAACATTCACTCATTCACCATGGCAGACAAGGCCCCATCCCCCAAACAGCTCGAGAAGAACCAGAACACCCTTTCTGACACCAGTCTCGAACGTCATGATCAAGAGGCTACCATGGACAATCCAGCTTCCCAGTCAGACAATGAACCAGAAGTTATCGACGACAGCACCGAGCTTCACGCTGCGGCCCGCAATATAGATCTCGATAGTATGCAGAAACTCCTCGAGCCCAACAGCGCATCCGTCAACATCAACGCCAAAACATCAGAGAACGGCCACACTCCTCTCTGGGACCTCGTCAGCGCCGCTGTTGAGTATGACGAGATGCATGACGATGCCGTGGCTTGCTTGACTCTCCTCATCTCTCACGGGGCAAATGTCAAGGCTCAAGCAAACAACGGCGCCACACCCCTGCACCGTTGCGCATTCTCGTGGTGTCATGACACTTCGGTTGAGGTCGCAAAAGTCCTTTTGGAACATGGTGCAGATCCCAACGCCAACAAGACCCTGAAGCCAAAACCTACCCCCGAATCCGACAGCCAGCCCGCGACCTCCACCGCTCATGATCACGAGGAAGATGGTTGTGAATGCGGCGGCCATAAAGGCACCGTCCTGAAAGCCGCCTACAAACAAGCCACGGGAGGGCAGACCCTTGAGCTTCCCCAGCAAGCGCAAGAGAAGCTCGTGACTCCGCTTCACCTGGCCGTCGGGCGAAACGCCAACCTCCCCATGGCCAAGCTCCTCCTCAGCCACGGCGCCAAAGTCAACATCAACGACCCCGACGCAGGAACACCGCTCCACCTGGCCGTGGCCGCCGGATCAGAAGCCAAGAATCTCGAAATCATCACCCTGCTACTTTCTCAACATGATGCAGCTTCTCTGGTCTCGGTCCCCAATGCCAAGGGGTACCTCCCCATCCATCTGGCCGCAGAATCCTACTCTTGTTCTCTTGACTCGATCAGCCATGAGATAATAGTTGCCCTGCTAGGCGCGGGATCACCCGTCGATGTTCCCCTGCCAGACACCCATCCGAGAGAAAACCGGCGGGGCCTCACTCCTCTTCTCCTCGTGGCCCAGAATTCTCAACTGTCTCCCCATCCTTCTTCTTCCCAAGATGCCGAGCCTGATGTTGAACACAACCCGCCCCTCAAGACAATCGCCCACCTAGTATCCCTCGGCGCGGACCCAACAATCCAAGGAGCCCTAAACCAATCCGCCCTTCTCTTCGCAATCCTCGCTCCCAACCTCCCCCTGGTGAAATACCTCTCCACCTTGCCAAAAGTAGACCTATCCTCCATCAGAACCACAGAACCCAAGCCCCTCCATGCAGCCGCCTTGTCCTCCAACCCCGACATGATAACCTTCCTAGTCAAAACAGCAAACTGCCCCATCAACGAGCCCGACAGCGAAGGCTACACGGCCCTAATCCACGCAGCGGGATATGCAAAGCCTAATTCTTCGGCTAACCAAGTCGAGGCCTTACAAGCCAGCACCATCAAGACCCTGATATCCCTAGGCGCAGACATGGAAGCCTCCATCTCTGACGGTCGTCGGGCCCTTCACTTTGCCGCCTTCAAAGGCCAAGTTGCTTGTCTGAGCGAGTTGATCCGTCAAGGGGCTGACATCTCAGCGGTAGACGACAACCATTGGACGGCATTGCACTTTGCAGCGCGCTATCATCATCCCGAATGCATCAAGATCCTTCTCGACAACGAACTGACAACAGCTAAAAGGGGCAAAAAGAACTTGATTGGACAGGTGGTAAATGGTGGACCACGGCCAAAGTACAAAGATGGGAACGAGGTTGATATCACGGGATTCAACGCCGCTGATTTGGCGCGCTCTGTTAGGGGCGGCGAGGAGACTGTTGCTTTGTTGGTTAAATATGGGGAGGTGTTGAGTGAGAAGACGAGGGACCTTGAGGATGATGAGCTGTGGGAGGAGAAAGGTTCTTCTCAGTGTTGTGTCATGTAATTCATGGGCCTGATAAACAGGCACCAGTTCCTGTAGGAGGAGTATGGGTCTTTATTGGATACCTAACTTTACGTACATCAAAGTAAGGGAAGGGGTGAACGAACCAAGCAGCAGCCCCTTTCCAAATTAACCTTCAAAGACAAACAAGCCACCAGCCCGTCTCCCCACTACCACCAATCTTTCTTCTGTCGTCAAGAGGGTATATGTACGACTTCCGGTATAGGGGTACTAAGAAAAAGCCACATTCACAGCACCCGTAGCTCAGTGGTCAGAGCACGCAGCGTTGAAGCGACTGCGGGTCAGCGGTTCGAATCCGCTCGGGAGCATGGCACAAATTCTTTTTGCTTTTTTTCCTTTCTTGGTTGGACCTCTGCTCTTAAGAGATTCGAGAGCTTACCGTAATGCCACCCCATAAGATCGTGCCACAGAATATTTGTGCCATATATCCATTATTATCTTCATCCTACATTAATCACAACCGCAAAACTATATACATCTAAAACCTTAAATTATGCTATGGTATCACAATACGTCAAATCAACATCATCAGTCATTTGCAAACAAAATACACGGAAACACAACATCATGCCGTTCCGGCCGACGATCCTCCTCGTAATAAACCGGACTCTTGCACTCGACCAGATCCCACATCCTCATCCTCGCCGTGCGCAACCTGACCGCGAGTGGGTGTTTCCCGGCATCAATCGACTCAAATCCGCGGATAGTCTCATCGCACACTTCAATCGCCCGCTCAATCTTGCCCAGCATAAAACAGCATCGCGCCAGCTGAATCAACGAACCCAGACGGTCCGGGTGAAAGTCTCCCCGTGGTGACGGAATCTTCTTTTGACTCTCCGAAACTTTGAGCAACAACTCCTCAGCTTCTTCATGCCGACCCTGTTCAAGCCATATTCCGGCCAACACCTGCCTCCCAAGCATGGTGCCTAGGTGGTCATGCCCGAGATTCCGCTCCGCCACTGGCAGGCCCTCACGTACCAGCTCTTCGGCATCGTGCAGTCGTCCAGCTGCCCCCATCACAATGGCCAGGTTGACCTTGGCAAGCAAGGTATACGGGTTCTCTTTCCCAAGGTCAGCCTTCCGTTTATCATGTACCTCCTGCATAATCTTTAAAGCCTGCTTGCGCACCGTCAAGACTTCCTTGATGAGGTCTGGTGCAGCCTCCAACGCCTCGTTGCCCAACATGACCACCGCTCTGCACATATTCTCCTTGGCCTCGAGCGTTCGTGCATGCGTCGGGCCATGTCTCTTCTCCATTCCCCTCGCCGCTGCCGAGTGCAGTCTGTAGGCCTTCTCGAAATCCCAAAACTTGTGCTGAGTAGAGCCCAGCCTGTCCATCAAATCCACAGTATACTCATGATTGTCGGGCAACAACTTCTTCATGTTATCCAGCACAGCCTCCTGCAATTGCCTCGCATCAGTGTATTTCCCCTGATGTTGATAAACACGGCCTAGCTCTCCAACGGCTCGGAGGGTGTCTGGGTGGAATGGCCCAAGATGCGTGCGGCAAATCTGCACCAGCTCATTCTGCACCCTGGCCGCATCATCCAGTCGACCCATATGCCAGTACATACTGGATAGGAGTCTGCTGACCTCTCTGGATCGCTTGTGTTGACGGCCAAGATACTGGTTCAAGAACGCCGACACGCTTCTCAACAGCTCTTCCGCATTATGCCACTTTCCGTTCACTCCATAAACGACGGCAAACTTGGCCGACATGCGCATCTTATCAGTGTCTGGGATGATGTTTGGCACTAAAGCGGCGAGCCGTGAAAAGATGGTCCGCTCCGCATCCCATTTCTTGGAGAGCTGATTTGCAATGGCTTTGCGAGACACATCCACATGCTCGACGTGAGGGAGCAGACCGACGTTGTACCTTTCGTCTTCGCTGGTCAATCCAGGGATCGAGGGCAACAGTACGGACGCTGCGAGTACGTTTCCAGCCACGTCCGCCCACAAAGCCTGATCTGCCAAGGTCATTTGAGGTCTCTCGCGGGCCCATGTGTGGACGATTGGGTGCATGGAGATGGTATCGTTGTCATCGTGGTAGGTGATGAGCGACATGGCAATCAACTCCTTCAGTGCCTCTTGTATGCGATCTCCGGCATCGTCAGCACCGCCCGGGCGACGACCGTCACGGACAACATGAGGAAGAGCTGGTGGGCTTCTGTTCTTGAAGAGATAGCCAAGCATTGCCACTCGGATCTGTCGGGACTGGATTCCCCATGAGAGACGCTTCTTCGGGCTCGAGGTATCCGCAGATTCACTCTCCTGTATTTTTTCTGCTGCAGCTTCACGTTCGGCATTGATCATGGCGCGTTTCAATATGGCTGGCGAGATGTTTTCTCGGTGGAAAAAGGCAAATACGTTGAGCAGCTGCCTGGCATCGATGGCTGCATTGGTCTTGCGCTGCTCAAGTCGCTCATAGCAGATCTCCCAAGTGGTGAAAATGGCAACATCGGTCCTCTTGTTCAGTCGAATACCCTGACTCCTGATTCGGTTTAGCATCCGTCGGTAATAAGATAAATAGTCCTTCAGACTGCACAGTCTGTCTCTTATGGCAGCACCGGCGTGAATAATGGCCAAGGCGAGCGAGCCCAACCTTTTGTTGATTGTCTCGGCGAGTTCTTGACGAGCTTCGTCCCATGGCACGGGTTCCTCGGATGCTTTGAGCAGAAGTTGAATTGCATCTTTGCTCTCCAATCCACCGAAGTCATAGAATCGTGGCCCAACGTTGCCGTGCACCTTAAAAGCCGGGTTTCTCGTGGTGACCAGAATATTGCCGCGGTTGCCCTTGGGGAAGTATCGCTCAAGGGGAACATCGGGATCGTCTGCATTGTCGATAATCAGGAGCCACCTGTTCGGCAATGTGGACAGCCAGTCCAGCGCAGCACTCTCGGTCTTTTCGCGTTTGGCGATTTCAGCAATGGTTCCAAGCGTTTGTGTGATGCGTTCTGGTGTGCTGGCATCGATCCAGAAGACGCCCCAGAACCTGTCCTGATTGTCGTATGCAAACTTGCTACAGAACTGTGTCTTGCCTGATCCGCCCAGACCATAGACCACAAACCGACGCTGTCCCTGGCCAGTCTCGCGCGTCGAATGGTCGCGTTTCGGGAGGAAGTAATTGCCGAGCTCACGAAGCTCAGCTTCTCTGCCAGTAAAGAGACTACTTACGGACTGGGGAGTGTGAAAGTGTTGATTAGACGACACCATATCCATGGCAGCAGACACCGAGTTGAGGGCCTCTCGAAGTCCTTGCATGGCGTCCAAAGTGGCAGCGGATTGTTTGGATTCTTGGAGGTCGGCAAGTTGCAAGTGTATCTTTTGGGCTTTGCTCTGGAGATTGTCCGAGAGTTCATTCAGGTTTCGACTGTATCATCGTGTCAGCCATTATGCATCAGTCCTGTGAAGGCGGCCGTGGTCAACGGGCCAACTGCCGCGCCGAGTATGTGACCGACCTGGGAATCTGAGACATACCTCGTGATAATAGTAAGGAGCAGGTGCATGCTATCTTGATGAGCTGCCAACAGGGCGCGGCAGTTGCTCAGATCGCTCTCATGTAGCAGCGTTTTGATCGTTCTTCTGTACACTTCGAGTTTTCCTGATGATGGGAGGCTCGACTGGCCAGAGATCTTCCGAACTATGTTGTAGAGCTTTTCGACGATCTCTCTTGTCGCATTCAGTCTACCTTTCATTTGGCCTCTTGGATTGCCCATTTTCCCGTCGGCAACTTCATCGTCGTCTTGTCCATCTCTCGTGAGTTCGCTCTCTATTAGATAGCAAAGATTCTCCATCCCCTGCATCTCTTTGACCAAGGAGCCAAGATGGCCGTCAATGTGACCAGCTTCATTGTGAATTTTGCGAATGATGTTGACTGTTCGGAGGCACAAGTCAGCAAGCCCAGCGGCACCTGCGACGATGGAAAAGGGGTCGGCCATGGCGATACTATTTCGAGCTCTGGGAGGATCGCCAAGCGGCCTGTCGGATGCGCGCTCGGAACGCCACCACGTCAACTGGTGGTCATCAGGATGCGGCGGGTTTGTCGAATCTGTTTCGAACGGGGTCGGGCGAGACACACGTTGGAATCATAACAGTCGACCCGAGGATTTGGTTGTTGATCTATTGACAGTGTACGTCAGAGACTTGGAAGCGTCGGGATGTGAAGGCGGGGTTCCGGGGGCCGGAATCTCTTCAGCTCAGGGCCGGAAAAACTCTCACACTTCGGATTTCACGGAGAGTGATCGAGCAAAGCTCTAGGGCTGACACTGTAGCTTTTTCCTCAAAGATTGCGTAAGTCCTCTCTGGCTGGTAGGTTACACGAAGCGGCCGCCAGTACGACGTACCTCGACCCGAGTTGGCCTCTGGAAGGACAACTGGAAGGAACACTGGGGGAGAGCGTGGTGAGTCCCATGGCAGGGAGGACGATGGACCATAAAATTCCAGGAGGGGTTTCCGGGACTTGAGAACTGCTTCTTTTCCGAAGACGCTATTCCCAATGCTCTCTGGTTGCCTGTATGTCTTGGAAGTTGCACTTTGCTGGGCCAGTGAGGTCAATATCTTGGGTGGCTGAGGGCTTGGTGAGTCAAATAGCGTGTGATTTTGACGAATGTGGATGAAAGCGTGGAAACTTATGTACAATGCAAGACTTGAAAGTTTGTTAGTTCGATTCTCGGTGACAGGGCCCCGGTCTCGACTTGAAAATACTCCCAAAACACAGCTAATAACGACTTTAAAAATTAGAAAAAAGTCCTGTTAATAGCCTACCTAAATTAGATTACTATAGACTCTATTTTACTGTAGAAAATTTGGCTGATTTGCTGTGAAGTTGGAAAATTTGACAGGGACCCCGGCTTGGAAGTAACAGACTAACGAACTTTCCAGGGTTGGGTTGTAACGTGGATGCGAGGATTCGTGACAAGGGTGGTTGGGATTTTGGGGGCCGTTCACACGCAGGCGGACAAGTCGGGAAGACACTTATCCAGAAACGGAAAGGGAAGCCTGTGATAAGGCTGTAAGGAGCGGCCGCCAGAGTACTGTACGGTACCATTGATGAGAGCGGGGTAGGTAAGGATTGTCAGAAACATCATATGCAACAGGAAGGAACACCCAGCATACACACCGGTGGAGTTGATACTTGATATCCGTCCCTTCCCTTCCCAACGCCGGAAGACGGTCTGAGTTGTGGTCCACTTCCGGCACTTGACACTGACAATGGGATCAACCTCAAGTCACCCGCTGAACACTTCTCTCGCTCTTTCCTGGCCCACGTCTCCAAGAGCAGTCCTGTTCGCGCTTCTCGCCACATTAG